CCCATGTGCCATAATCTGAGGACCCATGGTGTACATCATGGGAAAGTAGAGATGAAAACTAACAGGTCAAGTCTAGCATATAGAACACGTCAAAGTCTAGAACTCAGACTAGACTGGAACAGCAGATGTTCCTAGAAAGGCCAAGCTAGTAGAACAAGAGGAAACAACTCTAAATTTACAACAGCAATGGCTATTAGAGGAAGAGTTGCACCAATTACATATCATATAAAAATAAAAAGCATTTAAAAAGCTCAGCATGACTAAAACACATAACACTTCAGATATGTTGCTTGAGTCAGTTCCATTAAGAATTAAATAATAGTTTTGGTTTACTGACAAAAGATCATGACTGTGTGTGTTTATTTCTACTAAAAGCATTTAAATCAAGAATATCAATAATTTAATATGGAGGCTACTCATATTTGTTACACATAAAGGAAGAATAAAGGCCAAAGGATTATGACAAGGAGAAGGAAGGTACTAGTGAAACATACTCACATCCTTGTTTACTTCCATCAGTTGTTTGTGCCATATTGCCTTGCTGTCTATGCATCTGTTTGCATACAACCTCTCAATAGCGTACCAGATCTGCTACATCTTCCGTTTCTCCCTGTCCTACTTATTTTATATTGCTAAAGGAAGATGACATCAATTTACATGTTTTCACCCATAGTCTCACAAATTGAGGCTTTGCTAAACTGGATCCTTAGCAAAACATATTCCAAGTATGTTTTTCCTTCTCTCTTCCCAAAACATTTGCGTGTGTAGTCTTACTAGATGTGCAACATAAAGAAAAATTGAAACTTTTGTTAACCACCCAGGGAGCATCAGCTATTAGATAGCATAAAATGAAATAAATAAATAAAACTGGTTCAAGATTTTATTGTTTAATAAGCTGTAATTGTTGTAAAAGCTGGAAGAAAGCCAGTGTGGTGTAGCGATTAAGACTGTGTGAGACTGGGACTCAGGTAATCTGGGATCTTTTCCCTACTCAACCATGGAGGTCAATGGGTGACTCTGGGCCAATCACAGACTCTCAGCCCAACCTATCTCACAGGGCGGTTCTTGTTAGGATATGATTGAGAGAAGGAGAATTATGTAAACTGCCTTAGGTTCCTTGGAAAGAAAAAGGCAGGTTATAAATAATACAATAATTCTTTCTTGTATGACCTTTTATTTTTTCTGGGGGGGATCTTAAGATATTAGGAAGCGTAATATTTTCATTCATCAACTCAACTTTCTATCTATGATGACTATGAACCCTAGCACATTTAAAGTTTAGAATTAGTTAAATTGCTTGAAACAGTAAGGCTAATTCCTTTGGTGCTTTTTATATATATAGTGTGTATACTTTCACCTTTTCAAATAATTCAAGTTCATAAGAATAATTGTTCTATACCAGTCATCTTCTTTCCCTCCTCATAACCAACATCTTTGAATAGAACAGGGTAAACTAGAAAGGACGACACTAAAATTAAGAAACCACATATCTTTATCAGATCTCATTAAGAAAGCAAGCTTATAATTTCTTCTTGTATCCTGCATCAAAAAGTGGCTGTAACAGAACACGATAAGCATCTCTGCAATTTCCCAGCACTTGCCCTGTAACTTTCTGTGGAGATTTTGAAATATTTTTGACTTGAGTGTCAATAACTGTAAAAGCATTACAATATAGTAACCTTACAGAAACAGAAATCTACCAGAATGCAAATCAGCTCTTGCTTGCAGTAATACCATCTTACTGTACTGTAGTACAAATTTTGGGAATTTATATTTAAGCACATAGGCGCAGAATTGGATTATTTCTATGCCACGTTGCTGCTGCTTGTAATACAACATACCTAAAATCATTTATTATTTTGTAAATAACTGCAATTAACTATTGTACAGTAGTCTGCAGTACATCATAAATATAATTCCCTCTTAGTCATCTTTTTTCTACCACAAAAGAGAAAGTGAACAAAACAAAATAAAAAAGTGGGACTACTCCAACTTACACATGAGAGAAGAGAAAGAAAGGCTTACTTAAGTGCAGGGATGGGAGAGAAAATGTGCCACTCAATTTGAGACAGCAATGAGCATAAGTATTTTTTTAAATCTCTCTAGGATGTAATCTGTGATCCTGGGAAGGATATTGCGCCTTAAAGTCGGAAAAATAAGTTGCCTCAAGAAAATGCTTCTCTACCCAGGGGATTCAGAGTTTTAACTAAAGGGAAGCCCATCAAATCTCAGATGTTCACCTCTTTAATAGGCTTATCCAATCACGTATCATTTGATGGTGTAACACTTCCAAAATGAGTTCTAACATTGTAATATATTATAAGTATTTGGATACTGCCTGTCATGATACTATGGCCAAGGAGCACACAAAAAGTCAACAGTTTAAAACTGTGTACTTAAAAAGGTCACGCCTGCATGTACTTGCCCAAGCTCTAAGATCAGGGTCAGAGATACTCTCTGGTCCATCAGAAAGAGCATTATACCAACAGGTACTACAGATAGTGTGTTTCTCATTGGTTGGCACCATATTTTTGGAATTTCCTTCCTAGGGAGGTACATAGCATCTCATGATTGCAGATTTTTAAAAATAAAGATTGACACATTGTTCTAGCCTATACTTGAGGCCTGAAAATTATTAGCCACTTCCACCTTTATTTTATTGCAATTTGTTCATGTTTTTGTAATATTGTAAGTTGCCTTATGGAGCAGTGCATCCTGAGAGACAAGTGATATATCTTTTCAATGAATAATAAATAGTATTATTTCTCTTTCTGTACAAGTTCTATAAATGGATCAAGAAACCAAACATGACTACCAACTCCATGGTAGTATCTCATAGCTAAGCAATCAGCAATGCCCAATGTCAAAACAAAATTCAAGCCCATATTTGGAAATCTTCAAGACATCCCTAAAGGTACAGTACATTTGATTGTTTTGAGACTTGTTAGTGCACAAAGTATTTCCAGAAACCCAGTGGGAAAGCTCCACAATGTTCACATACCACCACCACAGTTGATCAGAACAAATTATCCAGGAATGTGTTTTTAATTCTATATTACCAGAATTCAATAACTCTTCTTGAAATAACTCTACTTTAGAAAGATACTTGTGCCCTGGACTGCATGCATGCAATTTACATTTTCTACAGCATTTTTTCAACAAATAATTGCATGCTCTCACTCAAAAGCATGAGTTCTCAACTTTTGAACAGAGTTTTCATCTCTATAGAATAAGACAGGCAGTACTAGCAAGCCTAATAAAGGCTCATTGTCTCATTTGTTCCACATTTCTAATCAACAGAGAGGCCTTGTTCTCTCATCACACGTGTAGTTAAGTACTTGCACCATGGGGGCCCCCTTCAAGCAACAATAACCTGTCACCAACCCTCCTCCTCAGGTTTGCACACACTTTCCACCTCCTGACAAATTTTAACTCCCTCCGCCCAAAATGAGACTTCTCCGAGCCACCATTTAGGAGTGACCGGCCTCCAGCAAAGTAATTGCAGCCTGAACTACTCACAAACATACTGGGAAATGAAGATAGGTTACGCCCACATCCTCACGTTTGGGATGCGTGCACGCGTGAGCGAGCGCGCCTTGACAAAAAAAGTTAAAAGAGAGGCAAGCGGAGAGCATCAATGACAAGAAAGTTAGTTGTTTGCGTACTTCCCAAGGAAAAGGAGTAAAAAGGGCTCGGTCGGGTGGGCACCGCCGAACACTCTTGCCAGACGGCAAAGTTCCCCCCAAAGGCTGCCGCCTCTCTGGTTTTTGCTGGCTCTCCTGAAGTACAACAGCGAGGGAAAGGCCGGTGAAGCGCGGGGAGGTGCTATCTTAGCAGCTTTTCTTCCACGTAGGGTAGGGAAAAGAAGGAGCAAGCGCGCACCAGGATTAGGCTAAGAAAGCAAGGGCGTCAAAAGGGGTTCATCGACCGACTGAGATTCCACCTCTGCGGAGATCTTAAGAAAGGGCGGGAGAAGACAGACCAGGGCAATCCGCGCGCGCGCGTGTGTGTGTGTGTGTGTAGGGGGAGTAGACCGCGCCTCCTCCGTGTGTGTGTTTGTGTGTGTGTGTAAGGGGGAGTAGAGCGCGCCTCCTCCCCGTCTCTATGGGCGACAGTTGGGGAGGAAAGAATAATAGGCGCTTAGAGCGCGCCACACAAACGGTCTCTCCCCTCTGGCTATAAACAAAAGCGGCTGACCGTTTGCGCGAATGAGATAACTCACTCGCTGGCTCACGACAAGGCTCAGCGCGTGCCCTCTCTTGTTTACCAAGCGGGTCTCGCGGGGGCGGCCTCGTCAATTCTCCCGGGCGTTCCTTTTCCGTTGGGACTAGGAGCAGGTTGGCCAAGCCTCCTCGCTCTCACAGACACTGCGCGAATGGCGTTCAACCACCCGCCGCCGCCGCCGTTCTTGGCTCTACGGCGCACATACCTGCTACCGATGGTCCTTTTTCTCTGAGCGAAGGAAGGCGCCTCTTCCCGTCCTGAATGGTAGATGTTTCGGACTCAGCCTACAGACTTGCACCGCCGCCCCTAAAAGCACTCCATGCTGGCGGCGAGGATCACTGTCCTCCCATGCAACAGACGTCCGCTGCTGCGCTCCCTTTAAGGACTAAGCCCAACAGGGACCGACTTCAATCTCTGTCGGCGTCTCCCGCTGGCTTTATCTTGACTTCTTCTCTCTCCCGATAACTCGGTAGCCGAGCTCCTTCTTCCCGCCTCATCACCTTCCCTATTGGCATGTTTCTCTGAAACAGGAACAAACCTTTCAGGAGCTAATTCGCCAGCGCTAATGCCATTCTTCTGTCACCGCCTCCTTCTTTCATTCTGACTGGCTTTCGTGGCAATTAAGTTCCACCCCCAGACCTATGCACAAAGGCGGGGAAGCGCTCTCGCCAATTACTGCGCCGTGGCAGTTCTCTCTCCTATTGGCGTTTCAAAGTCGTTTCCTTTCTCTTCGAGTGGTCAAAATGGAAGTCACTCCGCCGTGGTTGTTAGCCTGTCCTCGGGAGCCCTGAGAAGACACAGGGACCGCCCAGCTGCTAACGTTGATGCAAAAGAACAGAGGTGGCTTGCTCTTCAAATAGCTTATGATGGGTTAGGGACCATGTGAAGCAACCTTACAGTTTTTCTCCAGTTTAAATAGGAACGGCACGAGTTAATTCTTACAGGGGGGATATACTTAATAACAAGCTTTTAATATTTTTAGTTTTCTATTGCATTGAAGCAACAAAAGCTCTAATATTTGACATCAGTTTTCAGACTGTAGTTGCATCTGATTAAGTGAACTATGTAGTTCGTGGAGGTTTATGTCCAAATAACTGCGATTGTCTTTAAGGTGCCATATATCTTGCCTTTTGCATATGCCTGAAGGACAAGGTTCACCCCTGAAATGCAATCCAATAAATGTGAACTTGGAAGTAAGTTTTACTCTTTTCAATAGGATTTACTCATAAGTATACATAGATTTGCTATCTTGCCTGTTTATTTGTTAGTAAGTTCCATCGTGTCCAATTTAGTCCCTGTATCTATATCTACTGTCTAGTTCTTGTATGATCATGTCATACTGTTGGCCCAGCCTCTCCAAAAGAGGGTGTGTACAGAAAACTAGGAGGCTGTAGTTTGAGAGACAGGTGTGTGCCTTTCAATATAACATGCTCTATCAAGGACCACATGGGAGCCAATACGCTGCGGCTTTCAAGTGGCAGCAGGATGGAGAGACTAGTAGTACTATAAACAATGAAATCCGGGGAATACAGAGTCACTGTTGCCAAGAGGTTTTCCAGGTCTCAGGACATACAGGATGAAACAAAACAAGTTATTCCTCTGATATCTGGAGTGTAGGAGAACCAACAAGAAATGCTATCTAAAGCTGGGGTGTTGAATCTCCAGCTGCTGTGCCAAATTGGGCCTACTGCTCACTCAGTTCCTCAAAGAACCGTTCCCTCTTCCCCTGGCTACACTCCCTTTCTCTAACTAATGGTTTGGTGGTTTGTCAGCTTGTGTAAGTCTTCCCCCACCCTGCTAAATTTTTGAGATGCATCTAACTTACTGACAGTAGGAGCTTGAAATTAAAATATGATGATAGCTTTGCCATATCAGGCCTAGAAATGCAGCCTTATACAGTTTTCCCAAATTGGAATGTGGCCCTCTAGACGAAAGGAATGTGCCACCCCTTTTGCCACACCCACCAGTGGAATGTGCCTCCCTATCCTTTAGCTTTTTCAAAACTGAGTTTCAGACTGAAAAGAGTTTTGACACTCCTGCTTTACTGTGTATCAAGTGAACACTGCTGCAGTGGAGAGCCATTTTGCCACACATGGTAAGTTCTTCGTAGGGAAAGGGTAGGTACTCTGTTCCATCCATTGCTCCTGCTGGTGAAATACACATGAGTCCTTTTGCATGAAGAACCGTAATCTGGATGGAAGGAGTACAACGAAGAGCCACTGTGCATGCAGGGTTCCTCTACAACCTCACAAAAGGGAAGAAAGGGGAAGAAGACGGTCACCACAGTCTTCTCTCCCCCCCCCCCCATCCTTTGGGTGGGAGGTTGAGGCATGAGGCACTCAGCTGGCCCCACATTCTCCTGCTGTGCAACCAGATTCAGGGACAGTGTGCTCCATCTACAGATTATTACTTCTCTGTGTGTGTGTCTTCCCCTCTCTGGGTACTTCCAGAAGAGACTTTGATCAGGCTGTTCTCCTGCCTCATCCACAGAATTTTACAGAAAATCCAGATGGTGACATGCTCAGTTTGTAATTTTCCTATGCCACCATGCCAGCTTTTATGTCTTTTTCCTTTCCAAAACAAAAGCTGGTTAGAAAGAATATGTAGAGTGCCTTTTGGTTTAAAATGTCAGAACACTCAAATTTTGACTTCTTCAGGCCACCCTCCTATAGCTACAGGTTCCATCCTGCACCCAGTTCTGTGCAGCATAGGAAAGGAGCCTATGCTATGGACAGGAAGCTTCCAGGTCCTCTTCTGTAGGGTTGCCAACCAGCACAACACCTTCCTGGGCCAACAGGTTAACAACTCATGTTTGCAAGATCCACCTCTATCCCTGTTGCTGTTAAAGATAATCAATCTGACATGTGATGTTTCTATGTTGTAATAGAGGTTCATGAACAGGGCTCCTTTTTTCCTACTGTAGTGTAACCAGCCTTCAGCTGGCCTCACAATAAGACTGGGGGGAAGGATCTCATCCCCATTTTGCTTCCTCTGGGAGTGGTCCTCTAAGGTTGCATAAGGGAGATAGATACTGCTATCACAGTTTATAAGACAGTCACTGGAGGTTGTGTTTAAAAGGAGGTGAGGGATAAATGTGAGTTGTGGGTGGAGGCCTGCTGGGGTGCTATCCTGCAGTGCCAGCCTGACAGGTGGGTGGGGTTCTATGGGTTGCTAGGAGAGGGTTAATTGGGTCTTCAGGCTGGAGTTCTTGTATCCAGAATGTGGGATTCCAGATATGAGATCCCATCCTACAGGGTTATCTGGGTTCTTTCAGGGGCTGTATGCTTCTTGCCTGTGCTGGTCAGCCTCATGTGCTGGGTATTCTGTGGCATCTTTGTGTCTTAAGGACTGTGCCACAATCATCCAGCATGGCTTGTCTTCCTCCATTTCTAGTTAGCAAGGAGCTTTATTTATTTATCTATCACATTTGTATGCCATCCCATAGCTCTCTGGGCAGCTCAGAGTGCAATATATATAAAATACAGATAAAAATAACAAATACTATACAACATAGTAAAATTAAAATACAATGTAAATAGAACCATATAAATAAGAAACCGAAGGAAAATGAATGCAGTATAACCAATAACAGTAACCAATAAAACAATAAACCAGCAGCAAACTAATCGTCTAATCTAAAAACAGATTCTCAGTAAAAAAAAAAAAAAAAACCAAGAAAAAAAGTCTTGACTTTGCACCGAAAGCAAGATAAAGTGGATGCCATTCACACCTCCCTTGGAAGAGAATTCCAGAGGTGAGATACAATGACTGAGAAGGCCCTTTTCCTCACCAACTCCCCCCTCACCTCATTGTGGGGGGAGGTCATGAAGATGAGCCTCCATTGATGACCTGAGTCATCTGGCAGGGATAAATGGGGACAGGCATTCCTTTAGGTATCCTGCTCCCAAGCCGTTTAAGGCTTTATATGTTAGCGTGAACACTTTGAATTGGGCCCAGGCAATGACAGGCAGCCAATGCAATTGCCTTTCTTACACCCTGGGTTGGATGAGATGTTGTGGTGTTGCCAAGGATGCTGGGGCATGGCTGGCATCTTTGCAAGCATTTTTATTTTTGCTGTTTTTCCTGCTTCTTTCCTGAACTATATCAGACCCAGTAGTTTTTCCACCAGCATATCTGTGGTATATTTCTGGTCCAGGCATAACTGTAATACAAGTTTGCTCTTCCCATGAAAGATTCTTTCCTGTACTTCAAAGTAAGAAAACTTCCTTTTCTAATAAGAAAAAAAATTAGGCAGGAATTGCCTTTTGGCCTGTGCAATGTCAAATATGCAGATATTATACTTTGTCAGAAATTATTCACATTGTTGTTTTTTTCTGCTCAGATAATATGCTGAATTTACCAGCTTTTCTATTTGATCTCTGAGTTTAAGGAAGCATACTAGTTTGGAGAAAATCCCTTTAAAATAGCTTTACACAATTTTTACAATTTCACACGGTTGCATTTCTTTTCATCACAAGGTAGGTACTTTTGGAGACTCTCAAAAAGTATTTACAGTATTCAGCATTACAAGTATGTGTTGGAAATTGTCCTTTTGAGCTAACAAAATCAATTTCCTGGCTCCAAAAAGTCCAGACTAGTGGTTTCTAGGACTGCTAATTTCAGATCTTGAGGTGGTCTTCTGACAGTTGCATAGAAATATTTCATACCATGAGGTGATAGGTGCAATAGCACCATTGGCTTATATAGATCTACCTTGAGTCAGCCTTCCCCAAACTCGAAACCTGCTGGGTGTGTTCCCAAGTCAGAATAGGGAGTCCTGTCCATTATATTTGGAGGGCACTCGCTTGGGGAACAGTGCTTGCAGTAATGATTTCAGCAAAAAGTCTGAAGGTGCAATCCTATGAAAAAGTCCTCCAACTTCCAGCATGCCCCAACCAATTCTGGCACTTCTTGGGCGTTTTTTGTTTTACTTTGTTTTGTTTTTTTGGGGGGGTAACTAAAAATGTGTGGGATTACATGCATCATAAAATATAATATAAAGGATCCCAGGATATATGTTTCCAAATTAACATGATGAACGCTACCTTGGAAAAGAAAATGAATGAGTCATGTTCTTATCAACACCTGCCTGCACCTTTTTTTTCTAATTCTATTTATAGGTATTCTGGAAAATACATCATCAGCTATCATAACTGGTTTCTTATTGGTTTAGTAACTATTTACACACCTTTTCAGCTCAGTTTTCAAACAGTTCAAGAAACATATATTGTTTGAATATTCCTATTCTAGAAAAAAGGCAAACGCTTCTACAAGAAAATACTTATCTCCCTATCTGCTCAAACTGTACATAGAACACATCATAAGAAAATCTGGATTAGAATCAGAGGAAGGAATGAAAATTGGTGGGAAAAATATCACTAATTTAAGATATGCAGATGATATCACATTACTGGCAGAAAGCAGCAATGACTTGAAACAGCTCCTGATGCAGGAAGAAAGTGCAAAAGCAGGACTGCAGCTGAATATTAAGAAAGCAAAAATCATGTCCACAGAAGAATTTGAGAACTTTACAGTTAACAATGAAGAAATGGAAGTTGTGAAAGATTTTGCATACCTTTGTGCAGTCCTTCAATGCAATCAGACTGCAGCCAAGAAATTCAAAGAAGACTGAAACTGTTGAAAGTGGCAGTGAGGGAACTAGAAAAGATAATCAATTGGAAGGAAAGTTCACTGGAGACCAAGGTCAAGATCATGCACACTATTGTATTTCCAGTCCCTATATATAAGTATGGAAGTTGAAAACTGAAGAAAGCTGGCAGAAAGAAAATTTATGCATTCAGAACTTGGTGCAGGAGGAGAGCCTTGCGAATTTCTTGGATGGGCAGAAAGACAAACAAAAGGGTCCTAGATCATATAAAATCAGAGCTTTGCCTAGAAGCAAAACTGACAAAACAGAGGCTGTCATTCTTTGGTCTTGTCAAGAGAAAGCAAGACGCACTGTAAAAGACAATCATGTTAGGAAAAGTCAAAGGCAGAACAAGAAAAGGAAGATCAAATATGAGATGGAATGATTCCATAAAGGAAACCACTGCCCAGAATTTACAGGAGCTAAATAGGACTGTCAGGGATTGGTCATTTTGGAGGGCCTTCATTCATAGGATCACCATAAATCGGAGATGATTTGAAAGCATATAAAAACAACAAACCACAGAATTATGACGAGGTTCCTGCA